GTATTTTGCAATTTCTAGATGTTAAGACAAGTTCAGTTACTGTAGATGTAATTTTCTCTTCAGTACTGTATGCTTTTCAAATACTTATGTGTGTTATCAAGGAGCTATGAATGACCAGTTTCTGTTATGCTAAAGAAATGGTGTTATCAAATTCATGTTCTTCATTTGTTCAACAGTAAAATGCATGTTCAGTTCAGTACTGTTCTGTGTTATCAACTGCAAATTTTTAAATTTCAGTCTTATTCCTTCTTGTCAGTGTTCAACATGTTATTGAATGCATGTTCAGTAAAGGAAGAAACATTTTCCACTTCTCCAATTTCCAACAGCAAAGTTGTCTCCACACAAAGGTTTCTATTAACACTGACATCAAACAACACAAAAGTCTCCTTCTTACTTAGCAATAGCCAACATTGACAGCAATCACATCCTAACTAGAACTAACACTAACACAAAGAGAATTGCAAATAGCAGTACAACTGCTATCTTCATTACAAAAACCAAGTCTGTAACATCTCCTGGAAGTGATTTTAGCAGCAGCAGCATCTTCATCATATCTTCAGGATCCACTTCTGTCGTGTTCTTCTTTTTCTTCATCTCTACTACTTTACTATCCACAGATTCACCTCTCAGATGTCCATTTACCTTCAAATAATCAATGTAACTAGCTTCCCAGTGCCAAAAGTTGCAAGGTTTCTTCCCTGCCTATTTGACAAAATCAAGAACAAATCTCAAAATCAAATCAAGAACAAATCTGAAAATCAAATTAAGAAGAACAACATCCAGTCAATGTTCTTGTGCTAACCTTATGATTCATACACTTGTACAAGATCCATCCAGGATGCTTTTCAGTGGTGGACTCAAACCGCCTAATCTGGCGAATCTTGCAATCAGGGCATTGGATCAAAGAAAGCCAACCCGCACCGGCCCCCGATGAGCTACCCGCGCCGGACATGGGAGCAAAGGATGCAAGTGTTGGATCCAAGCGATAGTGGAGGGGATGAGAGATTGCGCTAGGGATTTAGCAGTCAGATGAGGGGAACGAGAGGGGAATCGACAGGGGAGGGGAATCGACAGGGGAGGGGAGGGGATGAGGGGAACGAGAGGGGAATCGACAGGGGATGAAGAAACCCTCGACGTGTCATGTCCAGCTGGCGAGTCAAAGCGGGTTTCTGGTCAAATCGGGCCGATACGAGCCGAAACGGTATGGGTTACCGTATAGTGACCCGGTTCAGCGAGCCCGGTGACCGTAACTTGCGATTTCGTGAATACAATGACCAAAGTGAACCCTAGAGTCAAGTTCAGTTACTGTAGATGTAATTTTCTCCTACTTGGGGCATGGCTGTAAGGTTGGTGGGCCGGTTGTGGTGGGATGTTGGGTCACTTGTAGGTATGCATGGCGTGAGTGTGGTTCTTTGCATCTCACGTCGGCATTGGTATGGTGTGCACTGATGGAACGTGGTGAAGTTGTCTGGTCGATGCATGTGTGAAAAGGGGCGGCTCTGGTCTATGTAATTTTTTGTTGCTGCCGTGAGTGTTGCGGAGGGCTGTTGTGCAGTTTCTACATGGAAGGGATGGATCCATTGCACTGCCGACCTTCTGCTCATCTGCACAATACCATCAACACCTATAAAAAGACACCAACAAACAAAATGATCTCCACGGATAAATAGAAATGTCGCAGATTTATTACGTACTATAAACGCGACACCTACAAAAAGACACCAACAAACAAAATGAACCCCGCGGATAAAGAGAAATGACACAGCTTTATTACTTGTTCTAAACGCTGTAAATAATTATTTAGGTCTCTACTTTAGTGATCTAAGACGCCTTATAGTATTTGTTCACCGAGGGAGTAGATTTGACTGCCATAGTAAGCCGATCATGATAATAATGGTGTGCATATCTTTACGTTAGCTCCACTCTCACACATATCTTACTTTAGCTCCACTCTCACAAATCCGTCGACACGGTCGGTAATGTTCCCACCTGCAAGCACAGTGTCGGGTCTCTTCAGAAGTCATCGTGCAAACGGAGAAGAAAACTCTGGATACACTTCAGAAGTGGATGGTGGACAACACGGAACAGCCGTCTATGCCTATGCCTTAGCACTCGCACCTATTTCGGGTCTGCCTATGCCTTTTCTCCTTTGCTCATCCGGCCGGTCAGTGTGTCAGCCTCCTTCAAAATTGAAATGGCCACTGCCATGGAGCATAACAGTTGTGTACACAATGTGCAGAGTAAAATAATAAATAATGCGCTGCTGCTCCCCGACGCTGTTGCTGGCAGGCAGGATCTGTGAGAGTGGAGCTAAAGTCAGATGTGTGTGGGAGTGGAGCTAAACTAAGATATGTACACGACCGTCACTACCATCTTAAATATTGGAGAGTAATCATATGCATGCGTGAGAGTGGAGCTAAAGTAGGATATGTGTTACTGTCCTGGCCACGTATCACTCTGTCGACGGATTTTTCGTCGGGTCCAAACAGTGGCTGGTTACCCCTCGTCGTCTTCTGCCCTATGATGCTGGAAAAACAGTTCATCCAAAAAATGTCTAAATGGAGCATACATGTCGAGAACTTTTACCCACTCTTCGTACCACATATCTACTTTTTAGCGACTAATAAGTTTTACCTTTCCAAGATTAGTCGCAAACCAAATCCAATGGCAATCCATGCAAAAAATAAAAGTGCCCATGCAAACACGAATGCGAACTAAACTCAATACACAAAACTAAGAAAGACACCTACTAACTTTTGAGTTGCCTATCAGGAAGCGCTTTCTTTATAGTCACATAGTCAGGATTCCATGCTCCATTCATCTACCTGAATCCCAAGGGATATCGACCCACTGTGCAATTATTTTATCTCTGATTGCAGTTTGGCGCACCTCGGGGCAAAGTTTAGTCGGGGTCGTACCCGCTTAAGGTGCATCGGTATCTTGCAAGTAAATAAGTCCTCAATCTCAAGCAAGAATTTATGCACCGAGCATGGTGAGCATGTTTGCTTATATAGCTGCATCGAGAGGGTTAGAGATCAATATATGAACCTAGATTACCTTTGGCTACCGATGTAGGAAAACAATTCATAATATTGGTCTTTCGGAGTGCGCAATTCACCAATCTTTAATAATGTCCCATGCGTAAGGAAATCGTTCAAGGAAGTAAAACAGAACATTAAAGGAGATAAATCAAAGCGCCCCCCTCCTCTAGTTTGTCACCATTGCTAGCATAATACACCTCAAATAAGATGCGTAGCGACTTATGATAAGTTTCATCCTCAATTTGAGATGAATATTCCTGCACTTCAAGTTCACTAGCATCAAGTTCATCCGAACTAGAGTCATCATAACACTTGTCCCTGCATATTAGTATAGGAAGATGCATAGCATGGAATTGTTGGGAGACATACAACGCTTCTATTCTAATTCATGATCACATACTCCCTCCATTTCTTGTATACAAGACCACAAAACCATATTACAAGTACCAATGTAAAATTTAATGCCTGGTTAAGCCAATGTTGCAAGCCAGCTTTGTCTCCTTGTTTGCCATGTTAATTAATGTGTATTTTTTATTTCCCACGCACATGAAATCAATGCTCTCACTCTCTGGTTGATTAATGATTTGCATGCAAGCCAACGTGCTCACTCTCGCATGCATGCATGCATGCAAGGTATAATTAATGTTCTCCTATATTAGTACGAGCCAGTTTTGCCTCGATTAATTTTAATGGCCTTGTAGAGCTGCAAATTATAATTTTGATAGTGTTCTTGTATATAAAAATGAAGGGGTACTTAAAATAATATCTAGACAATGATTATCAAGGTCAATGTCCTCTTGATAACTATCATTAAAGATGAGAGCTTCATAAGATTCATCACTAGAGTAATAGCCATCATCAAAGCATCAGAAGTTAACTATTCAAAATATTGTTCATGTTCATGATTTTAGTGTCCGGATTGCTAGATTTAGGGGTTACTCGCGCGGTAACGCATCTCTCTAAATTTGTGTTGAGGTCACCTGAGTAATGC